CATGAAGACAAACAAGCTGATGCAAGAAGGAGGACTTTGAGCATCTTTTCATGTGTCTGTTGGCTATCTGTGTGTCCTCTTTGGAAACATGTCTATTCAGGTCCTTTCCCATTTTTTAATTGGATTGTTTGTTTTCTTATTGCTGAGTTGTATACGTTCTTTATGAATTTTGGAAAGTAATCCCTTATCAGATATATTATTGGTAAATATGTTCCCCCATTCGGTGGGTTTTCTTTTAATTTTGTTGATAATCTTCTTTGCTGTTCAAAAGCTTTTAGTTTAGTACAAATTAAAAACACAATGCGATATCATCTCATGCCTATCAGAATGGTTATCATCAATAGGTCAGCAAACAATAAATGTTGGCCAGGATGTGGACAAAAGGGAACCCCAGTGCATTGTTGGTGGTAATGTAGATTGGTGCAGCCATTGTGGAAAGAAGTATGAAGTTTTCCCCCCCAAATTAAAAATGTAACTGCCTTATGACCTAGTGATTTCACTTCTGGGAATATATCTGAACCAGGAATACTAATTAGAAAGAATGTATGCACCTCTATGTTCGTTGTAGCATTATTTACAATAGCCAAGATTTGGAAGCAGCCCAAATTCCCATCAGTATATGAGTGGATAAAAAAAAGGTGTGAAACATTACACAATGGAATACTACTTTGGTGTAAAAAATAAGGAACTCTTACCTTTTATGTCAGCATGAATGGACCTGGAGATTATTATGCTAGATGAAATAAGCTAGTCAGAAAAAGATAAATACCATATGATTTCACTCATGTGTGGAATCTAATGAACAAACTAAAGTAATAAACAAAGTGGAAACAGACTCATACATACAGAGACCTGCCTGACAGCTGTCAGAGGGGAGTGGAGTTAAGAGGCTGGTTGAAAAGGTGAAGAGATTAAGCAAAAAAAAGAAAAAAACACACACACAAAAACAACAGACAGAGATAACAGTGTAGTGATTGCCCGAGGGAAAGGGATTGGAGGGAGGTAGAAGAGGTCAAAGTGAGGCTAAATGCTGGTGTAAAAGGACTTGACTTTGGGTGGTGAGCTCATGGTATATATGCAGATGATGTATGATGGACTTATACACTTGAAACCTATATAGTTTTACTAACCAATGTCACCCTAATAAAGTCAATGAAAAAAAGATATTCAATTCTACTGAAGCCATACACATTTTTTTTACACTTAGGAATTTCTTTCCCTCTCTCTTCCTCAGGGAACTATAATGTATCTGTTTTTCCCACTAAGGAGCTCAGTCTCCTACAATATATATTAAAATAAAACCATCGGGAAGAACTGAAAAAAAAAAAAAGGACTATTTTTGTTGCTGAGATGTGAGTGACATATCCAGTGTTGATCAGTTTCTGTGAAAACGTCTTTTTGCTATAATATCTACTAACAAGAACACTTAAATAAAGGAAGGAGATGCCGGGAGGATGTTCTGACCACAGGCAAAATAACTGGGAATGCTATCACGTGATTTGCTAGCATCCATACATTTCCTTATCAAAGCCTTTTACATTGTAAGTTCTTGCATAGTTCTCTGTTTTCCCTGCCAACTGGTATGCTCCATAGTGGCTATTCAGCTAAGTATGTTATTACCATTGCCTGGTACAGTGTGGAGTTAGTAAATGTTTGAGAACAAAGGAGTTAATGAATGAAGAAAGGAAGGTTAAAATAAGAGAATGAAGACATTCTAGGGCTGGGCTGAGACATGGGGCTTATTGGAGCTGGAATGAGTGATCCAGGTCAAGTCAGCTCCAGGTTTGGGTTAATGGTGGGTATATGTACAAGTTGCAGAGACAGTAGGAATATACTAAATAAACTCGAAATAATCAAATCGCTTTCTACTCTGTGATGCAAGCCTGGCCGGCTCGAGGGAAGCTTTGGTTCTAAAAGTCAGTATTGAAGAGGCAGATTGTAATGAAGGACTTCAAGTTACTAAGCATTGTTCTTAAAATCTGGACATCTTGGGCACACTAATGTGTTCCATTGCTAGGTGCTGCCTATGCCCAGAAATAGTGCCTTTGGGCCTAGGATGAGTATCTGAATCCTAACCCTGACTTTTGCCCTCTGCTTAGCTTGGATTTGGTCACCTTTGTTTTTCATTTATTGACAACCTACTCTTTAGCAAGTATTTCTGGATATCTGGAATAAAATGAAGAATAGATCAGCACCCTGCCCTCACATAGCTCAAGTTCATAGAGTTGTGGGTAAATAAAGTTGAAAATTTGAGATTTTCCTGATGGGATACTTTCTTGAGAAACCCAGTGCCCTTCTAGCCAATTGCCAGTCCACAAAGCTAGGTAGTTTTTACTTCAAACTTCTCAGCAGACGAGAGCCTTACTTGCTTCATGGTCAGCCTTTCACATCAGGCTGCCCAGTGTCGCTCTGAGGACCGGCCCTGTGGTCAAGTGTGTTAGCAGTCTGAGGATCATTTCAGACATCCCAACCACAGTCCTCCTGCCCCTTCCCTGTCGTCCGGCCCACACGCTTTTATTGCTGTACTAGATCGATGGTTTACTGCACTTTAAAGTCAGGGTGAACTCTGCTCTAATAGTCATCAAGAATGCGACCTTGCAAAATTATTTAACCTCTCTGACCCACTGCCTGTAAATAGGAATGATATGCCTTCCTCTAAAGGTTTCTATGAAGGCCAGAGAAGACGCAATAATATTCTGTCACAAAGCCTGCCATTGCAGTTCCTGGTTTTTTCCTTTTTCTCAGTTCCTGTGGACGTGAATATGGCTGGTAAGCTATGCCTGCAGGAAGGGAGTAGAAACCTAGGAAAGTAAAAAAGAGTTTACTGAAATGATACATCAGAGTGAATTTGTTGGAGAGTACTCTTTTTTTTTTTTTTTTATCTGCACCTGAGGACCTTTTTGCATTTATCTTTAGATAGAGCGGGAGGGAGAGTGGGAGGAAGAGAGAGAGAGAAACATCGATGTGAGAGAGACATCAATGTGAGTGGTTGCCACCCACATGACCCCAACCAGGGCCGGGACAAACTGCAACCGAGGTACATGCCCTTAGTAGGAACCGAACCCAGGCCTCTCTGGTCCATGGGTCGACACTCTAACCGCTGAGCCAAACTGGCCAGGGCTGTTGGAGAGTACTCTTAAGTAAGTTATTGAAAGATGTGAGTTATTAGTAATATTTGGGACACAGTGACCTTATACACTGGGAAATGCCATCAGTGATGTAGTTTTCATAATCACTCTTGCTTATTATCTTGTACTCACTTTACACTCCAAAACACAGTGACCTAAATTCTGTGTAGGAATACATTTATAATAACTAAGAGCCACCATGACTGTTAATTGGTTTGAATTCAAATCTATCAAGATGCTTATTAACCTGTCTCTGTATAGTATCCATGTGAAACATTTGGCAATTAAATACAAAATTACAGGAAAAAAGTATCTTTTCTAGAGAGGGGAAAAGGATACTTTCACTCATTTTTCTCAGAATAAAGCCAGTATCTGTGTATGTATTTTTGAGTAGCACTGAAGTTTGAGGTGGCTTTATACTCTTTAACTGTTCATTTGCCATTGAAATTCTTTAAATCCCGTCGTCTGAAGTGACAATTTGGTTATATTTTATTCAGTCAGTCCCCACACTTGCTCACACTTGCTGTTCCTGAGGCTATGAGTCTTTATTAAGGTTATAAAATGCTTCGACCTTCATAAAAGGCACAGTGGCTTCCCTTGAGGCCCAAAGCATTAATGATGAGGTGAAATGCAAAATCATTATCTGAGAGCAACATCTCTCTTGCCACAGAAACCATTCAGATCATCCTATTGAAAGGCAAACCCATCCAAAAGCTAATAATGAATTCTCTCTGGCAGTTGAAATATTGGGCAAATTGCTTTTTCACCTATGATAGGATGTTAACTGGGTGATAGCCAAATGATGCTGCCGGTTCAATCTAGTCCACTCCTGCTCCCTGGGTAATTGATGCTCTTTGGGTCCAGAGGTCAAAAGTTGGTGAGTCTGCAGTGAGAAGCTTCACTGTGAAAAAGGAGCAGCATTAAGCATGTAATTCTTGCTGTTGTTTCAGCACCAAAGACTCTAATAGGAAAGTCATGCTTCCTTCAGGGTGAGTGTCACAGTTGCATTCAACTGTTCGTTAAAAACTTGTAAGTGCATCTATGGAAAATTAAACACTTGCAACATGAGAAAATGTCACTTCTGTGAAAACCAGCTTATAACCAGAAAGTCTTACCTTTTGCCTCCTAAGACAAGGCGGTATGCACACATGTATGTAATGCCCGTAGGTAATGGTGGTGATGAATATGTGTCTCTAGCAAAACCAAATTGTTTATTTCATCTCAAATTTGAGAACTATATTAAAAAGCCAGCTCAAGTATTTGAAAGCTGGAAAGTCCATGCCAATCAGTCTTTACCATACCTTCAAAACTTATTTTTTTGCATGATGGAGGAAGAGAGTTCTTTATGAATACATCAGAATCCGAATTCCTTAGTATCAATTACCATATTTATAATGAGCTAGGTGTCCTGGGCTTCTATTGCATTACATAGATGATTTGATATATAATATCAGAAAAACAAAGAATGTCCTACTTAAGAGAGATCTGAAACGTCAAGTTCATGGGTCTTCATCTAGTTCATGAGTTCATGGAAAACCACCAGTCCATAAAGGTGGAAATGTAGGTTGATGATAATTTTCAGTATTTCATAAGACTTGCTGGGGATCATATATTTACTAGTTGGTGTGAGGATCAATGTATTTGTTTTTGATTGGTATGTTACCAACTCAGGGCACAAGCACCACTATTATCTGTGTTCTCAGTGATATTTAGAAGCTCTGGTTAGTATAAAAGTACCTTACAGGAGGCACATAGAGCCAGAGTTTTCTGTTTAAGCTGGAGAAATAAATACTTAATGATCATGTAGTTCTTGATTCTGCTGAAGCATTTTCCTCATACAAACTAGGCATGAAAACCTAAGAAACAGCTTCGGAGTTTCGGCAGCACATATACTAAAGCTGGAATGGTACAGGGAAGATTAGCATGGTCTCCTGAGCAAGGATGCCAAACAAATTCATGAAGCATTCCTTATTTTTTAAAAAAGGCTATTCCAACACACAGATTATTATTTTTTTAAAAGATTTTTTTCTTTATTGATTTCATAGAGAGAGGAAAGGAGAGAAAAAGAGAGAGAGAGAAAGAGAGAGAGAGAGAGAGAAACATCAATGAGAGTGAACATTGACCAGCCGCCTCCTGCATGCCCCCCACTGGGAATTGGGCCCACAACCTGGGCATGTGCCCTGACCAGTAATCAAACCGGTGACCTTCTGGTGCATGGGTTGACGCTCAACCACTGAGCCACACCGGCCCGGCACACAGATTATTTTTGTACTAGAATTTGCTAATTTATAATAGAGAGTTTTTCTTACTGCCCTATGTCTCTTTGGCATTGGTTACATGTAAGAGATTTTAACTTTAATTATTGTGAAAGCTACATTGAAAAATAATTGTAGTAAAATTAACTTATCTATTTTTATTTGGTTTTAATTGTTAAATGTTTGTAAAAAGACACTGTTTTGGGGGATAATGGGGCTGAGTGGTGGGCAATTTCTTTTTTAAGTGTAAAATAAATGAATACACATTGGATGCAAAGGAAACAAATAAAAATATAGCACAGGATGAGAATCAGGAGACTTGGCTTCTGGTAGCGACTTGGCCAATATATATGACAATTTTAAAAGTTGTTTCATTTAACTAAGTTTTCCATTTCTAGTCATACCAGATAATCTGTAAAGCCTCTTATAGGTTTTAATTCCAGTGATGAAGCTATATTCATATTCCTGAAAGTGCTTATTATTCACAAGAAAGACACTTAGATCATAAGCGGGAGTTACTGATGTTGGGACTTTGGGCATATTGAAAGTAGAAAGTCTGTGTCCTAAGGACTTCGCAATCTCACTTGTGGCAGGAATAAGTATTTTAAGGGCATGAATAAAAACAATTTAATAGAATAATTTTAAGGAAATTTTGCCTTGGACCTAGTTAGACTGGTACTCTATATAGCACCCAAGAATAGCATTAACCATAGGCTGGGAAGCATTTGGGTAATGCCTTTAACTATTGCCTGTGAAGAATGTTTGCATCCTGGTTTTTCATGGAAAAGGGAAGGGAATAGGGTAGCTTTAGAATTAGCAGTTCTTAAATACATGTCCCTCAATATTTCCTGTCTAATAAGAAAGAAAAAAAAACAGATAAGCAAAAGTACACATGAACAACTCACTTAGTGTAATTGGAAATAGATAATGGCTTGATTTCAGAATAACTGTAAACACAACAGATAATAAAAAAAAAAAAAATAGAAGAAAAAAAAATCACCAATGGCAGTAAATTATCTCTTAGGTGTCACAAGACTTTGAGGCCAAGCAAGCAGTCTGAGAAAAAGTAGGGGGAAGAAACAAGAAGAGAGCTAGTTACCTGAGTCAAGTTGAGCCAAAAAACAGCCAGAGGATTACATCCACTGCAAGCCAGGAAACACTGATGTGTCTTATTGGAGCATGGATGGCAGAGAGGGAACTTACAAGTACATACTACTAGAAATGACAGCTCAAGAGTTTCTGGGGAAGAAAAGGGCAAAGGGAAGGCAGAAGCACCTTTGGTGATTAGGCCGTAAGAGGAAAAGCCAAGGGGAAAGACACCTGTTCCTCCCTCAACCACACACACAAGCAGACATTCACTAAAGAATCTAGACTTTGCTTCACTGACAGAGAATATTCCCCTGTAACTATTAATCTTGTAAACCACCCCAGATCTGCAGAATGAACACTAGAAAGCTGAATAAATCTAGTCAAAATTACCATGCCATATCAAAAATATGATTCAGCACTTCTCAACGGACACACTTTCTTCCTGTAGAAACAAAAGGAGAAGAAAATTATAAGACTAGACTCCAAACTGAATTAAATATACTCAAAACAAAGAAACACTTTGAATCAGAACAGAAATGGACCAAAAACCAACAAATAAAAATCAAGAAGCTATAGAGTAGATTGTACTCAGGAAACAAATAGAAGAAAATAAAAATTTATGTCTCAAATGTATATTGTTGAAGAAAGGTAGGAAAATAGCCAATGAAATGAAAAGGAGACAATAGAGAAGTAGAAAGGGCCAAAGATAAAGTAGTGAAAATAGAAGGCACTCAAACAGGAATAATAGAGGTATTGTTAGAGTCCCTGCAGAAGAAAACTAAAAAACAGAACAGAATTAATATTTCAAGGTATAATTAAACAAATCTTTCCATCTGGCTGGTGTGGCTCAGTGGTTGAGCATCAACCCATGAACCAACGATTTCTGGTCAGGGCACATGCCCAGGTTGTGGACCTGATTCCCAGTGGGGGACATGCAGGAAGCGGCCAATTGATGATCTCTCTCATTGATGTTTCTATCGCTCTCTCGCTCTTACTTCCTCTCTTTCTAAAATCAATAAAGGAAAAAAAAAATCTTTCCAAATATAGAGAATACTTAAATCTTTATATTGAAAAGTCCACTAGGGAGCTGGATATTAACTCAGAATGATCATCTTCAAAGTACAACCTAGCAAAATTATTAGACTTCAAAAAACAAAAACAAGACAAAAATACTTCCCAATATCACCAGGCAAAAGATCATTAGACTTATTAAAAAGCATACAAGGGATGTTATAAATCATGTACAGATGTTATATTTTGTGGTGGGCACACGATAGAATATACAGATCATGTATCATAAAAATGTACACATGAGAACAAAAATATAAGTCTTCCTAATTATCATTTTTAAAATTATTATTATTTTTAAATTCTCACCCAAGGATATTTTTTCATTGATTTTTATATAGAGTGGCAGGAGGAAGAGACAGAGAGAGAGAGAGAGAGAGAGAGAGAGAGAGAGATACACCAATGAGAGAGAGACACATCTGTGTGAGAGAGACATGTCAATTGGTTGCCTCCTGCACAACCCTGACTGGGGCCCGTGATAGAGCCTCCAATTGAGGTATGTGCCCTAGACCAGGAGTTGAACTTGTGACTCTTCAGTCCAAGGGCTGATGCTCTTACTACTTAGCCAAACCAGTCAGGGCCTAATTATCATTTTGAATTAAAGAGGACATACAAATGAAAATATAATTCTCCCTAAGTATCATTTTTAAATGAAGAGGAAATAATACACAATTTGGTGAAAAAAAATAATGATAATAAGCACAGCAAGTATGACCTAACATACACAATTCTACAAATATTGTCACAAAATTGAGATCAAGAATTCAGACATTGCAATCATATCAATAAATGTGAATTAACTTACTTGTTAAAAGAGTGTGCTTTTCACTTGGCTTTACAAAGCAATAAACAACCATATGCTGTATACAAGGGACATAATTAAAACAAAATGATTAGAAAAACAAACAAAGAAAATAAAATAAAATAGGCAAAGATACACTGAATTCACAGAAACAATAAAAAAGGAGGGATTTGAAATTACTATCAGATAAAGCAGTATTCAAGACAAGAAGTAATAACATTGATGAGAGAGGGACTTTTGAATGCTAAATGCCACAAGGCAAAATGAAGATATGAAATTTATGAATATAAAATGTAGAACATAGAAACACCATAATAATACAGAAGTCTCTTATCAAGACAGATCAAGTGGACAAACCAAAAATAATTAAGGAGCTGGAAGACCTAAATAATATAACTAATAAAATAGATGTTATCATCATATACCAAATTGTAGGTCCTGATAATAGAAAATGGACTTCCTTCCTTCAGGAAATAAGTTTTACATACACTAGTTCACAGGGAGCACATCAAAATGCTCTGTAACACAGAAATATCACCAACAATATTCTCTGATTACAATACAACATAACTAGAATTATTAACAAATCAAAAATTCAAAGGCCCTTCCACCAGGAAATGTTTTTAAAACCTCCTATTTGACAACTCTTGGGTGAAACAAGGAAATACAGATTGAAACTGCAGAATTTAATCAAATAATCAAAGCACTACATAAGGAAACTCTGGGTACACTTAAAGCAGTGGTCAGAGGAAAATTCACAACACTGGCTCTTTCGCCAGTAAAAATGAAAGAATGAAAACAAATACCCAACTCAAAAAAAAAAACCCACAGAAAACAGTCAAAGAAAAGAAAGCTCAAGACAGTAAATAAGAAAAGTAGAAGTTAACAAGGTAAATTATTACAGAAAAAAACAGTAGAATTGGATGTGCGAGTACTGGTGTATATAGTGTTTGTGCAAGTGTGTGTTCATAGGTGGATGGGGTGGGGGTGTTCAAAGAGAATGGAGCAGTGTTCTCTTCCAGGCTTGAGGAATTCTAGGAAAAACACAGGTTTCACTAGGATTGAAAAAATGTCTGTATACACACATACACACATCTATGATTTTTTTCTGTAATTAATTGTTTTGCAAGTTGAACTTGTTAATTCATGTGAATTTCATACCTGAACTGTGATAGCGTCTACTGAAATAGCAAGTGAGAACTGACACTATGAAAGCCCTAGTGGAGTTGCTGTGTTTATCTCTGTAGCAGTGATAACTGGTCAACGTTTCCATAGTGTGTAATATCTGGGCTGGCCACAGTGCTGGTGCAATAAGAAAACAATGGACGTTACTCGTGAGCAAATGAGAGTTAGAGTCAATGCTGAATTCTTCAGTTATGTTTGGGTTTTAGAATTACATTCTTAGAGCTTTCTTAATGCCCAATTTTACTAAAATTCTTCTAGGGAAAAGGAATCATTTCAATATAGTGATTCCTCACACCCCCTTTTCCATGGAGCGCTGTCACAAAATGCTTTATTATCCAAAACAATTACATTGTAGCAGAGCAAACATTTTGACTGGATGAGCTGGAAAAAAAGATGACATGGAATATATCTACAACTCAAAGCCGAGAACAATTGATCTGAGGGTTAAATTTTATCTTACACGTCAGGGCTCTGAATATTCCAGGCTTTCAGAATTATCTGTTGACTAAATATACCAGAGTAAACAGTTGTTCATTTTTAACAATTCAGTTTTTCCTTCTTCAGACACATTACAAGT